TAATAGTCCTTGAAAAAAATATTTTTAAAAAATCCATGTTCATAATAGTCCTTGAAAAAAATATTTTTAAAAAATCCACATTCATAATAGTCCTTGAAAAAAATATTTTTAAAAAATCCACGTTCATAATAGTCATTGAAAAAAATATTTTTAAAAAATCCACGTTCATAATAGTCCTTGGAAAAAATATTTTTAAAAAATCCACGTTCATAATAGTCTTTGAAATAAATATTTTTAAAAAATCCACGTTCATAATAGTCCTTGAAAAATATATTTTTAAAAAACCCACGTTCATAATAGTCCTTGAAAAAACTTTTTTAAATAATCCAAGTTGAGAATATTCCTTGAAAAAAAATATTTTTAAAAAAAATCCACGTTGTAACAGTCATTAAAAAATAGTTTTTCAAAACACAAGTTGTAATAGTCCTTGATTTTTTTTAAATCCACGTTGTAATAATCCTTGAAAACGCATTTAAAAAAATCCACGTTGCAATAGTCCTTGAAAAATATTTTTTTTTTAAATCCGCGTTGTAATAGTCCTTGAAAAATAATATTTAAAAAAATCGTCGAGGTAATAGTCCTTACAAAAACCACGTTATCCACACATAGAATTCCTTGTAAAAATGATTAAAAAATATTCTCGTTGATTCTAGTTTTTGAAAAATTTAGGAGGCTTTTCTGGCTGTGGAAGAGTTCTAAAGACCTTTCTCTATAAAATACCTGGGAGTAATGTTTTGTTCAAAGAAGATCCCTGAAGGATCGATTGCCAACAAAAGAACTTTGAAAAGTCGTTTCTTTTTTAGTAGACCCATGAAGGGTCTTCAGTTTGCTCTAGACCTCTGAAAGGGCTGTAGTACATTACACATCCCTGGAAAGTCTAATTTTTATCCCCCTAAGATTCCTTCCCTCCATATAAGACCCCCTGAAGGGTATCCTTTCTAAAAACGATTTATGAAAGGACTTATACCCAAAAAAGCAACACGGGGTTATTCTGTGTGTTAAAGATCTCTTCTGTCCATAGAAGACACATTCGAGGGAATGAAGGGTCCTATGTTCATAGAAGGCTCTCGAGGGGTCATCTGTCTATTGAAGTCCTTTGAGAATCCATAGAAGACACCCAAGGGGCCCTCTCTCCATAGAAGACTCCTCAAAGGACTTGTGTCTGCAGAAGCCCTCTAAAAGATCTTTTGTTAATAGAAGACACCTGAATGGTATTCTGTCTATGAAAGTACTCTGAAAGGTCCATAGAGGACTCAGAGGACTAATCTGTTCATAAACTCTTTTGTCTGTAAAAGTAGACTCAGGTTGACCTTCTATTCATAGAACACCATTTATACGGGTCTTTTGCCCATAGAAGATCTCTGAAAAATCTTCTGTCCATAGAAGAATCCTGAAAAGACTTCTGTCCATAGAAGACACCGGAGGGGTCTTCTGTCTATGAAAGTTCTCTGAAATGTCTATATTTTTTTATCCGTAGAAAACTTTTTGCAGGTCTTGCGTCCATTGAAGACCTCTGAAGGATTTTCCGTCCGTACAAGACTTCTGTCTGCAGAAGACCTCTGAAGGGTCTTCTGTCCATAGGATCGCCCGAGGGGTCATCTTTCAGCAAAAGACTCCTAAAGGATCTTCTGCCTATGATAGTCCTCTGAAAGGTCTATAATGGACTCAGAGGGGTCATCTGTCTATGGAAGACCTCTGAAGGGTCTTCTGTCCATAAAATAAGAGTCATAAAAAACCTCTATTCAAAAAAAACTCTGACAGGTCTTTTGTCCATAGAAGACCTCTGAAGGATCTTCCGTCCATAGAAGACTTCTAAAAAGACTTCTGTTTATTAAAGACACCCGAGGGGTCTTCTGTCAGCAGAAGACTCCTGAAGGAAATTCTGTCTATGAAAATCCTCTGAAAGGTCCATAGACGACTAGGAATGATCATCTGTCTGATGATCTCAAGGGTTTCTGTCCACATAAGACTCGTAAATGGTCGTATGTCTATAAAAGAAGACTCAGAGATCTTTTATCCTCAGAGGACCTCTGAAGGGTCTTCAATTCATAGAATACCACTAAAGGGTCTGCTGTTTGTAGAAGACCCCTGAACGGACTTCTGTCTGTAAAAGGCTTCTGAAATGTCTTTTGTCCATAGAAGACATCCGTGGCTTCTTTTGATCGTAGAGGACTTCGGAAGGGTCTTCGGTCTAGAAATGTCCTCTGAAAGGTCCATAGAAGAGCTCAGACGAGTCCTATAAGTGCCACTCGAGGGGTCTTCTGTCTATAAAAATCCCCTGAGCATCCATAGAACATAACCAAGGGACCTTCTGTCCATAGAAGACTCCTGAAAGGACTTGTGTCTGCAGAAGACCTCTAAAGAGTCTTCCATCGAAAGAAGACTCCTGACTGATCTTCTGTTTATAAGAATCCTATGAATGTTTCACACCTCAGAGAGGTCTTTTATCAATAGAAGATCTCTTTGGAGGATCTTTGGTCCTTAGAATACACTTGAAAGGTCTTCTATCCATAAGCATCCTAAGAGGGTCTTAAAGGTATTCCCTTCCTGGAAGACTCATAAAAAAATGTCTTCCCTCCATGGAAGACTTCCCTGAAATTCCTTTTTATCCTCCTGGAGTTCCCCTACCTTTTTCACCCCTTCCTTCGCATATCCTCCTCGAAGTTAATCGAACGGAAATTCACTTTAATGACAGAAGTGATATTTCATTGAAAATGTCAAACAAGAATAGGATAAACACACGCGTACGCACACACACACGCGCAACGACATCCCCAGCGAAAGGAAGTGACATTCATTGTAAATAGATAAAGGGGAGCGAGAAAAAGAAAAGAAATAACAACGATCCTTGTCCTGCCAGAGGCTAACAAGCTTACAAGAAGCGTGGCCATGTTGTGGACTTATCTTTGGATCGGTTAAACATAATATTGATTTATTATTGAGGCCCCTCCCATTCCCCTCCTGTCCACCTTTCTTGCAATTGCATAATTTAAATAGACTACAGACATTGCACAATTAGATCGAGTGTCTGGATGGTAGGAAGGAAAGACATTCAAGACAGGCAATATCAATCATTGCCTCCCTAGGCGAGCAGGCAGCCAGCTATCCAGCCCTCCTTTGATAAACAATCAAGAAAGCCTCTTGTTTTTGTTGGATTACACTTCGTGTTGTAAGTAGTCACACCTGAGTCAATAGTCTGTCGAAAATATTTGCCGTAGGCTTAGTTTCGTCTACAGAAAATCATATCGGTATGCATGGTAAATAGTTTAATTATCTATGGGTGATTGTCCCCAACCTGCCCTCTCCTAACCACTTCTTCCTCTTTCAAAAAAAAGGGGGAGACCCAAGACATGTCTGAAAAGTAAAAGTGATTAATTTTCAATTGTTGATCATCCAAATAACGATTCATACCACCCAGCCATCCATCGAACCATTCCAGCACCAATCAAGGTTTGTTTTACCAAAAATTGGGGGAGAAGAAACAACAGCAATCATTGTTTTCGGGTGGTAGCAAGGGAAATTGTCTAGGGGGGCATTTACTTACCCACCCAAAGAACAAAAGCTTTATTTCATTGGACACAATGTAATTGAATAATTTCATAATTTTCCGAAATCAAAATGGAATACAATTCGGAAATTTGTTTGCTAATTGGAAATTTTGAAATGGGCCTCGAGAGATGCATTCATACAAGCTCGGGAGACATAAAGAGGTTACACTTACAAAACAAGGAAAAGAAAACGATTCCCTTAATAAAATATTCCGTCATAGACAAAACAAGTAAAAACATAGCTAAGTTCGGCGGGGCCGAACTTTTAATACCCTCCGCCATTTGGAAGGTTCTTGAATATAAAAAAACAAGTTAAAAAGCAGTAAGTTCGGCCGGGCCGAACTTTGAATACCCTCCACACCATTTGGAACGAATTTGGAAATTTTCAAAAAATAAAATCCGTTAAAAAATTCTGTTAAAATTTTAAAAATAGCGAATATAGACGTTATATTGGGGTCTATACGACGTGGACCTACATCGGCATTGTTTGTCGTAAGCCATTACGATATTAAAACTGAAACTTCAAATAAACGGTGAATAATGTAGCTAAGATCATCAAAATATCGAATATAGGGAGATACCGTTAAATCTGAACTGTGCGAAGTTCAGGACCAGCATAGACAATTTTCTGTCACAGGCTGTAGCATCCATTACGAACTTCAAATACGACATCGGTGAGTATTGTACCTAAAATCACCAAAATACCAAATCTAGGGAGGTACTGATATATGGGGGCTATACGAAGACGTGGACCTGCATACACAATTTTCTGTCATAGGCTGTAGTATCCATTGCGAACTTCAAATACTAAATTTGAAACAATTCCGGTGAATAGTGAAGGTAAAATCATCAAAATACCGAATATTGGGAGGTACCGTTATATGGGGGCTATACGAAGACGTGGACCTGCACAAACAATTTTCTGTCTTAGGCTTTAGTATCCATTAGGAACTTCAAATACCAAATTTGAAACAATTCCGGTGAATAATGTCGCTAAAATCATCAAAATACCGAAAATAGGTAGGTACCATTATATGGAGCCCTATACCAAAACGTGGACCTACATTGCCATTTTCAATACCAAAAGTCCTGCAGACATAATATATATTTGACTAAAATTTGATCAACCTACTTCATTTCGTTCGGAAGATAGAGGGATTTCCACAAAAGGACAGACGGATAAACGGCGGACATCGCTAAATCGACATAGAATTTTGTCCTGATCAAGAATATATATACTTTGTGGGTTCTAAAATGTATATTTCGAGATGTTACAAACGGAACACCATACTATGGTGGAGGGTTCGATCTCTACCATTTTTAAACAGATCTTATGTAGATAAAAATATTGAGATGTGCCAAGTCTGAATAAAATCGGATGTCAATTTCACGTTTTATGAGCTTTATGGATAATACACATTAAATTTAAAGTGTTATATTTCGAAAACTTACCTCTTTGCTCGGCACACAGATCGGTGTACCCACTTTGACGATACCATTTTCGACCATTACACCCATAACAATGGGGTCACGACTGTTGAAGATGAATTGTGGCAGTATCTGAAATTAAGAAGAAAATGAAAAATAAATTAAAATGAAGAAGTTTTGTCCCCCTTAAGAAATACGAAAAGGTGGACCTATACATACAATGTTTCGGCGCACGAACAAGGACCCATTATGACCTACAAATACCAATTTTCAGATAAATCCGTGATAAAGTGTGGCAAAAATCATCAAAATACCGATTATCGCGATGTACCGTTATATGGGGACTATACCAAAACGTGGACCGATATATTTCATTTTCAATACCAACCATCCTAGACACAATACAAATTATTCTGCTAAATTTTGACGCTCTACGTCAAATAATGTGGGCTGTATCGTGATTTCAACAGACAGACAGATAGACGGACAGACAGACGGACATCGTTAAATCGTCTTAAAATTTTATGCTGATTAAGAATATATATACATTATGGGGTCTACAACGAATATTTAGGGATGTTACAAACGGAATGACAAAGTTAATATACCCTTCTTTCCAAGGTGGAGGGTATAAAAAAGGCCAGCGATTGTCCTACCGAAAAAAGAGGATTTTAGGACTTAGCTTTAAGGAATTTCTATAAGAAACTAGAATTATTTCCGTAGATTACTAGATATATTTCTTAACATGACCATTAGTCACCCCTTTGAAGAAAGGTCTTTTTAGCAGAAACTAAGGGCTATTGATTTATCTACCGGAGATATTTTAACAGGAAACCCGTATCTTTCTACTGAACTCTTCAGGTGTTTTTAATGAAACCCAGAAGTCTTTGTATGGATGTCCAGAGATGTTCATATAGAAGACCACATAAAAGTTATTTTCATAGGTTATTTTCCGATTTTCCATAGACCTACATTTAGTCTTTCCCAGAAACTGCTCTCGTCTTCTTTGGAAAAACTCCTCAATGATCTTCTCCCCTATAGAAGTCAGAGGCTTGCCTATTATGATTTTCCTTATTGAAGATAAAAACGTCTCATCAGAGAGGACCAGGAAACTCCTAACAGAAAGCGATATTTCTTCCCACTAAAGACCGGGTTTTCCTATAAGCCTAAAGCCTTTCCTTGAAACTAAAGTTCTTCCAGAGGTCTTATAGAATACAGGATAGAACCTCAGAGACCCTTTATAAAAGAGGTATTTTTATACAAGAACTCTAGAGGTTTCTTTTTGAAAACCACAAGAACCACCCTAAAAAGGTTTTCAGATTTTTTTTTTGAAACCCCGAGGGCTTCGCAAGCTTTCGTATGGAAAGGAAGGAATTTGATGTTCAGTAGTAAAACTGTACTGATAGCTCTTCCTTAACAGAACAATCAACAGGGTTCTTTTCAGGTGGCCATTAATACCAAAGCTGTCTCTTATAGAAAAGTATTGTAGAATTCTGTAATAAATATGGAGTTCATTTAAATTCGGCCAAATTCTCCTTCAGGTCCTCAATGAGGACACCTGCTGTTATTTCACAAGAATCTTTCTGTCTTTCTATAAGAGCTTCTGTTACCCTACAGAGTATTTCGCTTCATTAATTTATAGAAAGGGGACTCTTAAAGTTTTCTATAAGGCCCTTTGATTCTGTAAAAAAAATGGGACCACATGACATTCTAAGCAGAAAAATCCTGACAGATCATCTTTAAGTGAGTGATCAAAAAGTCCTCTAAAAGTAGTTAGCATAAATACCTACATAGAAATGCGTTATAGTGGTGTTCTTAAGAAAGATCTTTCTATGGAAGCCCTACAGAACTCACCTTTGGGTTCTCAATAAAATACTGCAGGTCTACTACCAGAAAACGATTTTTTAATAAAATTACGGATATTCTATAGAAAGTTACTAAGGTCTATAAGAATACCAAGTTTTGGGTTTCTATAGAGAATCTTTTCGTTCTTTCTTCCTTCTCCCCAAGAAAGGCTTTTATCTTCTTCTTCTTATAATCCTTCTGTTCAGGTTTAAAAATACCTTTTTTCTGGTATTACATGACAGAACATTTTTGTCAGTTAAACTTTCCTCCGTTCTTCTATGAGAAAGCCTTCTTCTGAGCTTTTAGATATGACCATTTTTTGGCCTCCTAACAGACACATTTTTTGATCTTGGATTGAAAGACCTGTTCCTAGACTTTAGCTGGACGATTTATTTGTCCACACAACTATAAACTTAATTTCAATTTGAGAAGATATTCTGCTACTCTTTTAGGAATAGCCCTTTTTTGGCATTTCTTATCAAAATATTATCTAATAGAACCTCCTCTATAAGAGAATATTTTTCTCTTCTCCAGATTTTCTATAAAAATATATTCTTTCATCAAAAGATCTTCTTCAGGTCTTTTTGAAAAGCTTTTCTTTATCTGAAAACAAATTTTAGTCTAGTCATCTCTAAAATGATTTTCTTCAGGTCTTTTACAGGAAGACCTTCTCCCGATTTTCTGTGATGGAACTTTATGCCAGTCATCTGTGAGAACTTCTCCTGGCCTTATACAAGAAGACCTTCATTAGGGGTTCTATAAAAATAATTTCTTCACCAGGAAGATACTTAAGTGGCATTTTATGAGAAAGGCAAAATCTTCAATGAGAAGTCAGGACAATTCTTGTGCTCTTCTACGAGAAGACAATTTTTGGTCTTCTAAAAGAAAAGACCTTCATCTGGAGTTTTATGAAAAGGCCTACTTCTGGTCTTCGTTTTTAATGACTTTTTCTGATCTACTAGAAGACCTTATTTTTTGGACTTTTATGAAAGAATATGTATCCGAACTTTTATGAGAAAAAGTTCTTCTAAACTTTTCTTGTCACCTATAAGGATCCTTTCTTCTAGTCTTCTATGGGAAGATGTCTTCTGGGATAAAACCTTGTTGTCTTCTAGAACAAGCCCATCTTCTGCGACTCTATGAGAAGACCTCATGTTTGAACGTTAGTAGAAGATTTTCTTTTTGACTATTTTGAGAGGACCTTCCTTCCTTCAAACTTTTATGAGAATATCTGCGGCTGGTATAATGGGGCTATAATAAGACCTTCTCGTCTTTTTTGGTAGACATTCTGGTCTTCTTTAACAAGAAAGGACCTTCATCTGGAGTTTTATGAGAAGACCTACTTCTGGCCTTCTTTGTAATGACATTTCTGATCTTCTGATATGTATCCGAACTTTTATGAGAAACAGTACTTCTGAACTGTCCTTATCATCTGTAAGTAGGCTTTCTTCTATTCTTCTATGGAAGGATGTCTTCTGCGATAAAACCTTCCTGTCTTCTATGACAAGACATTTTTTCTGAGATTCTGTGAGAAGACCTAATTTCTGAACGTTTGGAGAAGATTTTCTTTTTGACTTCTTTGAGAGAACCTTCCCTTCTTTAAACTTTTATGAGAATACCTGCAGCTGGTATAATGCGGCTATAATAAGACCTTCTCGTCTTCTTTGGTAGACATTCTGGCCTTTTATAACAAGATCTGGTTTTGGCAGTCTATCGAAAATTTTTATTTTTCATTTTAGGGGAAGATTTTCTTCCAGACGTCTATGGGAGGACCTTTTTTACCCTCTGATCTTCTGAGAGAAGACTGTTTTCAGGTCTTATGTGTTTCTCAGGATTTCCCCAACTTCTCCCCCCGCCTCCTTCCAAGTTTCAGATCATCTTCTGGCTCATTAAGTTTCCTGATCATTTGCCTTCGTGTGAATAGAAGAAATAACAACCTGCCTGTCTGTCAGACAGTCAATCATTCGTCTTCCCTTGAGTTTTTCTTCTTCTTTCGATACATGCAACATGTTGCATGTTGTAATTGACTAATTTCTAATCCCATGGAGAATTATGTGTGTTTTGTTGTTGTTGCTGCTATTCTGCCTTCTCAACATCCGGCCTTAGACAGATCGAAATGTTCTATGACCCTATGCAGTACCATACATCCGCCGTTTCGTGGCAAAGATGGATCATGTAAATTGCTTTAAGATCCCAGCCGGGGGAGATAATAGAAAATATATCCATGGGATAATTTCCGAACCAAAAAAAACGAACACTTTTTACTCCACAAAAACAACAACAACAACAAAAAGTCATGATGATATTATTTCATGATCTGCCAGAGCAATTTTCATCCATTGAAGTCGATTTTCAATGGCAGTGAAGTGTGTGTGTGTCTGTTGTGGCCAGCATCTTCATCTATGGCCATTGTCGTTTCCAGGCCGTCGTAAAGGCGGATGCCAGCATTTAATGTTGCTATTGTTGTAATTACACGCGTACAGGTGTAAAATACATATGACCGGATGGTGATGATGATGACGACGTCGACGTTGAGCGGATGGTCGAATGAAATCGGACAAAAAAAATACATTCTTCTTGGAGCGATTAAAATGCAGACTCACACACACGCATATGGAGGAAAACTCATTGGTCTCATACATCCAACCATTAACCTGTTGCCTGGGTATGGCGGTCTGGCTGGATATTGCAACTGGAGGCCTTTATGTCCGACTACTTGACTGGACATGGCCAGGCCCCCACCTCGTCCCCAATTAAACGTTGATTCCGGGCCACAAAATGCGAGCAAAATACCTGTATGGACAAGCAGCATCTGTGGAATGATGACCATCAACCTGCAGTCGTATGTGCGTGCGTGTGTGTTTCTGTGCCTGATCAAATCTTCTTTCAGCACGCACAGCTTCCATGTGTCCATGGCAATTGTTGCACTCCGCTATTAATCTGTCTTCTAAATGATCATCGAAACCAATCGACCGGAATAGCGAAACAACAGCGATCTTCTTTAAATTGGTCATTATTCCAGAATTTGTCTTGTCCCAAAGAGCGGAGACCTCGTGGACATGGAAACAATGGAGAGAAGGTATATAGGTGCTTGACACGTTTTGTGTGATCTGCTCGCTTTTTTGTGAGACATGAAACTGCAGCAGCATTTGTTTGAAGCGGAAATTAAGTTGTAGCTAATGTTGGTTTTTGTTGTTATTGTTATTGTTGTTGTTCTTTTTTGTTAACTATTGCAATCTTGATGAACAAGAATGTTTGATAGACTCACAATTAATTCACTTTGGAAGAGGAGGACCTTTCCTTTTCTTTAGAAGGCAGAAGATCAGCTTTTGGTGTTCTATGAGAGGAGGACGTCAGCTTCTGGAGCTCTATGAGAGGAGACCGTCAGCTTCTGGTGTTCTATGAGAGGAGACCGCCAGCTTCTGGTGTTCTATGAGAGGAGGACGTCAGCTTCTGGTGCTCTATGAAAGGATACCGTCAGCTTCTGATGTTCTATGAGAGGAGACCGTCAGCTTCTGGTGCTCTATGAGAGGAGACCGTCAGCTTCTGGTGTTCTATGAAGCAGCACCAGCAGCTTCTGGTGTTCTATGAGAGAAGCACCAGCAGCTTCTGGTGTTCTATGAGAGAAGCACCAGCAGCTTCTGGTGTTCTATGAGAGAAGCACCAGCAGCTTCTGGTGTTCTATGAGAGAAGCACCAGCAGCTTCTGGTGTTCTATGAGAGAAGCACCAGCAGCTTCTGGTGTTCTATGAGAGAAGCACCAGCAGCTTCTGGTGTTCTATGAGAGAAGCACCAGCAGCTTCTGGTATTCTATGAGAGAAGCACCAGCAGCTTCTGGTGTTCTATGAGAGAAGCACCAGCAGCTTCTGGTGTTCTATGAGAGAAGCACCAGCAGCTTCTGGTGTTCTGTGAAAAAGCACCACCTTCTGTGAAAAAGCACCACCTTCTGGTATTTTATGACAAGGCTTTCTTCGGGTCTTCTAAGATAAGAAGGATATCCTCTGATCTTCGATGAGAAGACCTTGTGGTTTTCTATTCCTTCTGCTCTACTATGAGAGAAGACCTTCAGCTCTTCTATGAGAGAAGACCTTCAGCTTTTCTATGAGAGAACACCATCAGCTCTTCTATGAGAGAAGACCTTCAGCTCTTCTATGAGAGAAGACCATCAGCTCTTCTATGAGAGAAGACCATCAGCTCTTCTATGAGAGAAGACCATCAGCTCTTCTGGGAGAAGACCATCAGCTCTTCTGGGAGAAGACCATCAGCTCTTCTATGAGAGAAGACCATCAGCTCTTCTGGGAGAAGACCTTCAGCTCTTCTGGGAGAAGACCTTCAGCTCTTCTGGGAGAAGACCTTCAGCTCTTCTGGGAGAAGACCTTCAGCTCTTCTGGGAGAAGACCTTCAGCTCTTCTGGGAGAAGACCTTCAGCTCTTCTGGGAGAGGACCTTCAGCTCTTCTGGGAGAAGACCTTCAGCTCTTCTGGGAGAAGACCTTCAGCTCTTCTGGGAGAAGACCTTCAGCTCTTCTGGGAGAAGACCTTCAGCTCTTCTGGGAGAAAACCTTCAGCTCTTCTGGGAGAAGACCTTCAGCTCTTCTGGGAGAAGACCTTCAGCTCTTCTGGGAGAAGACCTTCAGCTCTTCTGGGAGAAGACCTTCAGCTCTTCTGGGAGAAGACCTTCAGCTCTTCTGGGAGAAGACCTTCAGCTCTTCTGGGAGAAAACCTTCAGCTCCTCTGGGAGAAGACCTTCAGCTCCTCTGGGAGAAGACCTTCAGCTCCTCTGGGAGAAGACCTTCAGCTCCTCTGGGAGAAGACCTTCAGCTCCTCTGGGAGAATACCTTCAGCTCTTCTGGAAGAAGACCTTCAGCTCTCCTGAGAGAAGACCTTCAGCTCTCCTGAGAGAAGACCTTCAGCTCTCCTGGGAGAGAGACCTTCAGCTGTTCTATGGAGAAGACCTTCAGCTCTTCTATGGAGAAGACCTTCAGCTCTTCTATGGAGAAGACCTCGAGCACTTCTACGAGAAGACCTTCTGCTCTCTTCTATGATAAGTCCTTATGCTCTGCTATAAAGAAGACCTCCAGATCTTTCTAAGAGAAGACCTTCTGTTCTTCTCTGAGAAGACCTTAAGGTCTTCTATGAGAAGACCTTCTGTTCTTCTCTGAGAAGACATTAAGCTCTTATATGAGAAGACCTTAAGGTCTTTTATGAGAAGACCTTAAGCTCTTCTATGAGAAGACCCTCTGCTCTTCTATGAGAGCAGACCCTCTGTTCTTCTACGAGAGCAGACCCTCTGTTCTTCTATGAGAGCAGACCTTAAGCTCTTCTATGAGAGCAGACCTTAAGCTCTTCTATGAGAAGACCTTAAGCTCTTCTATGAGAAGACCTTAAGCTCTTCTATGAGAAGACCTTAAGCTCTTCTATGAGAAGTCCTTCAGCTCTTCTGGGAGAAGACCTTCTGCTCTTCTATGAAGAAGAACTTCAACTATCAAAGAAGACCTTTTGCTCATCTATGAAAGAAGACCGTTTGGTCTCCTATAAGAAAACCTTTTGGTCTCCTATGAGTAGACCTTTTGGTCTTCTTTGAGGAGACCTTTTGGACTCCTATAAGAATACCTTTTACTTTCCTATGGAAAGACCTTCTGGTCTTCTTTGAGAAGATCTACCTTCGTCTTTAATTTAAAAATATTTTTTTTTTGAAAATATTTTTTTTGGCTCACCTTAAGTTTACATGGGAAGACGGCAATGGATTTAAATTCTTCACGTTTCTTTTGTTTCAGCTCCTCGCGATAGGCCATAAACTTATCGAACAAGTGATAAATAATATCGGCCTGGAATATTTTTACACCCAACGAATCGGCCATTTCTTGTGCTTCCTTTTCGACCTTAACGTCGAAGGCTAAAATTGTGGCAAATCTGTTAAAATAAGAGAGAAAAAAGGAAAATGATGTCAGAACTGATTAGTTTTGTAATAAAATATATTTCGAAATTTATGGAAGAATAAAAATTATAGATTTTCAAATAAATCGTTTGCAGTAATTAAAAAGGAAATCAAAAAGATAGCTATTGGCAATTAAAAAGACGTTTTAATGATTAAAATAAAATGGAAATAAATTCCAACAGGATATGGCTGAGAGAACAGTGGGTTGGAAGGGGGAGAGGGATAGGAAAAAGAAGGAAGGAATATTTTCACGAAAATATTTTATTGACATAAATTTTGAAATTGCTATAACTCATTCGAAATTTGATGGAATCAACTTCATAAAGAAAAGCAGGTCGTTCCTTTGGCAAAGAAGTTAAACCAGGTGCCTTATTTCATCCCCTCTAAGTCTTTTTTAGGGAGGCCTTCAGGTCTTCTATGGAAAGACCTCCAGGACTTCCATAGGGAGGCTCCAGGTCTTCTATACGGAGACCTCCAGGTCTTCTATATGGAGACCTCCAGGTCTTCTATGGTAAGACCTCAAGGTCTTCTATGGAAAGACCTCCAGGTCTCCAATTGAAGTCATTTATAATATCTAAATAGAGACAGACCTTTCGGCTCTTCTATGAGAAGACCTTTCGGCTCTTCTATGAGAAGACCTCTCGGCTCTTCTATGAGAAGACCTCTCGGCTCTTCTATGAGAAGACCTCTCGGCTCTTCTATGAGAAGACCTCTCGGCTCTTCTATGAGAAGACCTCTCGGCTCTTCTATGAGAAAACCTCTCGGCTCTTCTATGAGAAGACCTCTCGGCTCTTCTATGAGAAGGCCTTCGGCTCTTCTATGAGAAGACCTTCGGCTCATCTGTGAGAAGACCTTCGGCTCTTCTGTGAGAAGACCTTCGGCTCATCTGTGAGAAGACCTTCGGCTCTTCTATGAGAAGACCTTTCGGCTCTTCTATGAGAAGACCTTTCGGCTCTTCTATGAGAAGACCTTTCGGCTCTTCTATGAGAAGACCTTTCGGCTCTTCTATGAGAAGACCTTCGGCTCTTCTATGCGAAGACCTTCGGCTCTTCTCTGAGAAGACGTTCATGCTCTTCTATGAGAAGACCTGGACCATCTTTATAAGCCATTTCCATTGTTTTCTTTTCTTCCAATATTCTATACCCACTGTTTTCCAATAACCCCTGGTCCCATAGTCAAACATCTTCAAAACTTCTCTCCCCATTCGCCAAAACAGGAAGCCAACGATTTCCATTTGAAACCCAGAACAGAAGAAGAATCTGAGCCAAGCCACGTAATACGAGAGTAGTAATAATGCCGCTCCCCACCACCACCACCATCATCCTCAGCATAATGATGACGCTGCCGATGATAATAGTAATAATAAGACAAGAAAATTCCATTTCAGCAAAAAAATCCAAAATCAACAACAACAAAAAAACGGTTGCATGTGCCGGAATCAGCAGTCAATTTCAGAATTAAAACAAAAAATACGAAAAAATAACAGCGGACGCAGCAGAGTTCCTTCTCAACATTGAATTCATTCATTCATACATTTCCCGCAAACAGAGGAATGGTTGAATGGATGGACAGACTAGCGTACGGTCATCATTCACATAATTAAGTTTCGGGTTCTTGAAGTTGTTGTCGTTGTTGGATTTGTTCTTTATTCCCCCGTTTAATGTCGTTTACTTCATCCGCTGTTTTAAATAAGTAGTCCACAGCCCGTAGATGATACCTAGGGTAATCAGATTTGCTCACAATCACCGCCATAATAATAATAATAATGATGGAGATCACCATCATCATCATCATCGTAATGTGACCAAGCGACCGACCGACAGACACTCACGATCGCCATCGTCGTTACTCACTTTGCTTGGGTTCTTTGTTTTTGGTTTTTTGCTTCCTAAGGAACATTCTGCGGATGATGTTAATGGTGGCTATTAATTTATTCAACATCGGATATTCAATATCATTCGAATTATCTCCATTACAGTTTGGCGACCGTCGTCCAGTGAACCAACCAGCCAGCCAGCCATCCAGCCAAGCACCAGAGTGCAAGGGTAAGTTGTCGTTTAAATTTTGTTAGTATGTAGCTTTACGGGTATTGGTGCATTCTTAAATCAAAGCGAGCAACCAATCACCACAAAACCAATTGAGAACAGCCGGCCCTTCCTCTCCTCCAAGTGGTTTTTTAATCTAAAGTTCTTTGTCTGCCATTAATTAGCCATGACAATAAATGGCATGAATGACTGCTGGCTGAGTGGTGGGGAAAGACAAAGATCTTGACATTCGAGGTAATTACCTTTGACCTCTTAAGTCCGTCAGTTTTTGGCAAATTAAAAATGAATCATTTTTTTTTTGGGAATTGAAGCCCTACAAAGACGAGGCCACAGAAACCTTAAGAGAAGTTCTTCGTGAAGAAGAACAGAAGGCCTTCGTATAGAAGACATGAAGGACATCGTATAGACGACCTATGAGTCTTTTCATAGAAGACCTGGAGGGCTTCTCATACAGAAGACCCGGAGGTCTTCCCATAGAAGACCTGGAGGATTCTCATAGAAGACCCGAGGTCTTCGCTTAGAAGACCTGGAGTTCTTCGCATAGAAGACCTGGAGGTATTCTCATAGAAGACCTGGAGGTATTCTCATAGAAGACCTGGAGGTCTTCTCATAAAAGGCCTGGAGGTCTTCTCATAGAAAGTTCTGGAGGTCTTTTCATAAAAGCCTTGGAGGTCTTCCCATAGAAGACCTGGAGGTCTTCACACAGAAGACCTGGAGGTCTTCTCATAGAAGACCTGGAGGTCTTCGCATAGAAGACCTGGAGGTCTTCTCATAGAAGACCTGGAGGTCTTCCCATAGAAGACCTGGAGGTCTTCCCATAGAAGACCTGGAGGTCTTCTCATAGAAGACCTAGAGGTCTTCTCATAAAAGAACTGGAGGTCTTCTCATAGAAGACCTAGAGGAGGTCTTCTCATAGAAGACCAGGACCTCATAGATGACTTGGAGGTCTTCGCATAAAAGACCTGGAGGTCTTCACATAGAAGACCTGGAAAGTCTTCTCATAGAAGACCTGGAGGTTTTCTTATAGAAAACCGGGAGGTTTTCTTATAGAAGACCTGGAGGTTTTCTTATAGAAGACCTGGAGGTTTTCTTATAGAAGACCTCCCAAAGAAGGCCTGGAGATCTTTCAATGAAAGACCTTGTGGTCTCACATAGAAGACCTGGAGGTCGTCCCAGGTCTTCTATGTGAGACCTGGAAGTCCTCCCATAGAAGACCTAAAGGTCCTCCTATAGAAACCTGGAAGTCCTCCCTCCCTTCATGTCATTATTTACATTTCAGCTTGAATACTTACTGTGGTTCATGTTCCAGCATTGTTGAGGCCTTCATTACATCACGCTTGACAACGGGACCAATGCGAATAGCGGAATACTACAGAAAAGGAAAACAAATAGACACAAAAATAGATTAGTAAAGAAAATCGAGCAAAAAGAAAACCGATTGTAACTTAAAATAAACAGCAGTAGCAACAACAACAACATGTGATAAACAACATAATTGACATAATAATAACAATAACAACAACAATCATCATCAACCATCCAACCAGCTAGCCAAACAGACTGAATGACAGCCTCTTGGCTTTAAATTAGAGAAAAAAAATCAACGAATTTTGGACGTTGCCGCTTTTGAGGCAGCCCCCAGTCTCAGCAACAACAACAAAGTAAAAAACGTGGCCGCAGTCTCTGGTGGCATTATTCATTCATTCAGCCAGTCATTCAGTCAGTCACTCGGCAACAGTGGGGGTGACACAAATTAAGTACCAATTCCATGTGTGTGTCGGTGCACCACAGATTGTTGTGGAGGAGTTTAGTGAGCCAGCCAGCCAGGCAGGCAGTCAGTCAACCAGGCATTGAACTAAACATAGACTGCCCCCATGGGGGTAATGTTGCACACTAAGCCACTCTCACTCATTGTAGTTATGGCAGACAACATCACCGACTGTCAGTCATCAGTGGCAAACTACAATTTGCCCCCACCGCCATGGTAGTGGAATTCGTAGACAAATACACAAATGTGGATCAGAATGTAATTAAATGACAATAAAAAGATATTTACAATGAGCCGGCATTAAAAACTTTTCATATGGGCTAAAGAGGTTAAAATATAGAAAAGTTTGGAAAATTTTTGGAAACATCAACATTTAAAGATTTGTTGGTCCTTTAGAAAATTTCTTTAAAAAATCCACGTTTGGAGACCAGTTGGTCCTTTAGAAAATTTCTTTAAAAAAATCTACGCTTAGAGGTCAGTTGGTCCTTTAGAAAATTTCTTTACAAATCCAAGTTTAAAGATCTGTTGGTCCTTTAGAAAATTTCTTTAAAAAATCTACGCTTAGAGGTCAGTTGGTCCTTTAAAAAATTTCTTTACAAATCCAAGTTTAAAGATCTGTTGGTCCTTTAGAAAATTTCTTTAAAAAATCCACGTTTGGAGATCAGTTGGTCCTTGAGAAAATTTCTTTAAAAAATCCACATTTGGAGGTCAGTTGGTCCTTTAGAAAATTCCTTAAAAAATCCACGTTTAAAGGTCTGCTGGTGCTTTAGAAAATTTCTTTAAAAAATCCAAGTTTGAAGGTCTGTTGGTCCTTTAGAAAATTTCTTTAAAAAATCCACGTTTGGAGACCAGTTGGTATTTTAGAAAATTTCTTTAAAAAATTTTTAAATAAATTTTCTAAAGGAACAACTGACCTCGTTCCTTTAGAAAATTTATTTAAAAATCCAAGTTTAAAGATCTGTTGGTCCTTTAGAAAATTTATTTAAAAATCCACGTTTAAAGGTCTGTTGGTCCTTTAGAAAATTTCTTTAAAAAATCCACGTTTAAAGATCTGTTGGTCCTTGAGAAAATTTCTTTAAAAAATCCACATTTGGAGGTCAGTTGGTCCTTTAGAATATTTCTTTAAAAAATCCACGTTTAAAGGTCTGTTGGTCCTTTAGAAAATTTCTTTAAAAAATCCACGTTTAAAGGTCTGTTGGTGCTTTAGAAAATTTCTTTAAAAAATCCACGTTTAAAGGTCTGTTGGTCCTTTAGAAAATTTATTTAAAAAATCCACGTTTAAAGGTCTGTTGGTCCTTTAGAATATTTCTTTAAAAAATCCACGTTTAAAGATCTGTTGGTACATTAGAAAATTTCTTTAAAAAAATCCACGTTTAAAGGTCTGTTGGTCCTTTATAAAATTCCTTTAAAAAATCCACGTTTAAAGGTCTGTTGGTGCTTTAGAAAATTTCTTTAAAAAATCCACGTTTAAAGGTCTGTTGGTCCTTTAGAAAATTTCATTAAAAAATCCACGTTTAAAGATCTGTTGGTACTTTAGAAAATTTCTTTAAAAAATCCACGTTTAAAGGTCTGTTGGTCCTTTATAAAATTTCTTTAAAAAATCCACGTTTAAAGGTCTGTTGGTCCTTTAGAAAATTCCTTTTAAAAATCCACGTTTAAAGGTCTGTTGGTCCTTTAGAAAATTTCTTTTAAAAATCCACGTTTAAATGTCTGTTGGTCCTTTAGAAAATTTCTTTAAAAAATCCACGTTTAAAGGTCTGCTTGTCCTTTAGAAAATTTCTTTAAAAAACCTAAATTTAAAGATCTGTTGGTTTTTAGAAAATGTCTTTAAAAAATCCAAGTTTAAAGGTCTGTTGGTCCTTTATAAAATTTCTTTAAAAAATCCACGTTTAAAGGTCTGTTGGTACTTTAGAAAATTTCTTTAAAAAATCCACGTTTAAAGGTCTGTTGGTCCTTCAGAAAATTTCTTTAACAAATCCACGTTTAAAGGTCTTTTGGTCCTTTAGAAAATTTCTTCAAAAAATCAACGTTTAAAGGTCTGTTGGTCCTTTAGAAACTTTCTTCAAAAAATCCACGTTTAAAGGTCTGTTGGTCCTTTAGAAAATTTCTTTAAAAAATCAACGTTTAAAGGTCTGTTGGTCCTTTAGAAAATTTCTTTAAAAAATCCACGTTTGGAGACCAGTTAGCCCTTTAGAAAATTTCTTTAAAAAATCCACGTTTAAAGGTCAATTGGTCCTTTAGAAAATTTCTTTAAAAACTCCACGTTTAAAGATCTGTTTGTCCTTTAGAAAATTTTTTTAAAAAATCCACGTTTAAAGGTCTGTTGGTCCTTTAGAAAATTTCTTTAAAAAATCCACGTTTAAAGGTCTGTTGGTCCCTTAGAAAATTTCTTTAAAAAATCCACGTTTAAAGGTCTGTTGGTCCTTTAGAAAATTTCTTTAAAAAATCCACATTTGGAGGCCAGTTGGTCCTTTAGAAAATTTCTTTAAAAAATCCACGTTTAAAGGTCTGTTGGTCCCTTAGAAAATTTATTTAAAAAATCCACGTTTAAAGGTCTGTTGGTCCTTTAGAAAATTTCTTTAAAAAATCCACATTTGGAGGCCAGTTGGTCCTTGAGACAATTTCTTTAAAAAATCCACGTTTAAAGGTCTGTTGGTCCTTTAGAAAATTTCTTTAAAAAATCAACGTTTAAAGGTCTGTTGGTCCTTTAGAAAATTTCTTTAAAAAATCCACGTTTGGAGACCAGTTAGCCCTTTAGAAAATTTCTTTAAAAAATCCACGTTTAAAGGTCAATTGGTCCTTTAGAAAATTTCTTTAAAAACTCCACGTTTAAAGATCTGTTTGTCCTTTAGAAAATTTCTTTAAAAAATCCACGTTTAAAGGTCTGTTGGTCCTTTAGAAAATTTCTTTAAAAAATCCACGTTTAAAGGTCTGTTGGTCCCTTAGAAAATTTCTTTAAAAAATCCATGTTTAAAGGTCTGTTGGTCCTTTAGAAAATTTCTTTAAAAAATCCACATTTGGAGGCCAGTTGGTCCTTGAGACAATTTCTTTTAAAAATCCACGTTTAAAGGTCTGTTGGTCCTTTAGAAATTTTCTTTAAAAAATCCACGTTTAAAGGTCTGTTGGTCCCTTAGAAAAAATCATTAAAAATCCACGTTTAAAGGTCTGTTGGTCCTTTATTCCTTTTTAAAAACCCTTTATTTATTCTTTAAAAAACCCTGGTTGTAAAATCTGAAGTGCATAGGGAAAATTCTTTAAAAATCCACGAAGGGAGGTCCCAAGGTCATAAAGAAAATTAAAAAAATATATTTCGAAACATTTTTCTTAAATAAGTTCAACAGAATAGTTGCTCCATGTTCTTAGAAATCGCCATTGGTGGTAGAATTTTCTAGAAATGAGGTATTTCCATGCACAGTGGTCCGAAATTAGGAAAGCCATTTAAATTTAATTGCTGTCTGTACTACTCATACCCCATCCAGGGGGAATCGGGGAGAGAGAGAGAGCATCCACAAAAATAACAACCCGAATTGAAAATAAAATATTTATTTGCTTACAAATATAAAACAGCAACAACAAGAAGAACAACAGCGAAAACCCATCAGCAATAACACTGAACATAACACCACCGCCACGCCACGCCATGCCACGCCACCATCCATATTCGCGCAACGGAAGTAGTTTTTCCTGTTTGTTGACGTCGTCGTCGTCTTACGTTGGTCGTTGAATCGTTCTACTCATTCATTTTTATCAAAATGTACACACGACGATAATATATACATATATATACGATTTATTTGTATGTACATATGTCGGTCGTTCGGTATATATACTATATATAGGCGAAACTATGAATGAATACCCCATCCATCCACTCAGTGTGTATTAGAGTGGCCCCAACCATAAATGGTTTCTTTCAATTGCTTTCTATTACGAAATATAAGGAAGTCATTTGACTACAGATCAACATTTTCACTGCTTGGAAAGTGGTTATGGCCAGCGATTTGAAAACCACGCGACATGCACACACACTCAAACTCACATGGAGTGTAGGCTCACTTTCAAAACCGAACAAAAAAAAACACGACAAAAAGCGTTATGAATTCATTCAAAAATATGTGGCACTTTTACACACCACAACAACAACAAACACATAATAGCTGGTGAATGCGGAAATTAAAGTGTGACTTATGAATGCTAATAGCAGAGGGCCAATAAGTTTTGGGGAAGTCTAAACTAGGAAGGTGATTAGTTATAAAAACTCGAATTGTAGATTTTTAAAGATTGGATTTTTTGAAGAACTTTTCTAAAGGACTAACTGACTCTTTAACGTGGATTTTTTAGAAATGTTTTAGGGCCTAACAGGTCTTTTAACTTGGATTTTTAAAATACATTTTCTAAAGGACAAACTGATTTTTTTTTTTTTTAATTTTCCAAAGGACTATAACTGTTAAAAGCGGATTTTTTTAAAGAAATTTGCTAAGGGACCAAAAGACTTTTTGACTTTGATTTATCAAAGAAATTCTCAAAATTTTGTTTTTTTTTTTCAAATAAATGTTCTAAAGGACTAACAACTCCAAACATGGATTTTAATGAAATTTTAC